AAAATACTATTTTTTACCATTTATTTTGCAGATTAAACGCTTGATATAAAAAGTTCTGGTATTAAACTTTTTTTTAATATTTAATGAATTAAATGAAAATGAGTTTCTCTTTCTAAAACATCTACCAAAATGGAGGTCAGTGTGCTTCTTTTTTTGTCCCATTATCATTTGTGTTATTTTTTACCTTTTTCGGAGTCATTAATCAAAAGTGCTTCAGTTACACTAAACACGTAAAAAAAAATATCAATAATGTATAATTTTCCAGTTTGTTGCATATTATTCTGATCATATTGAACATTATAAAGTTGTACAGCAAAATTGAACCTGCTGCAATTAAAAATGGCGACACAATAACAATTTAAGTGATCAATCTAGTGTCAAAAAAGGTGAAATTTTGGCCTTTTTTGAAGCGCAAGAAATACACATTTATACACATTTTCAAAATGGCCGCCTAATTGATAATTTTTTTAAATTCTTGTAAAATAAGTTCTACAAACAGCAGGCATCTAGTTTTTTGACATATTTTTCAGATGCGTGTTTGCTAATAAACTTGATCATAATTTGTTAAATATTACAAAAAAAACAACATTACACCAGATCAAAACGAGACTTGAACGTAATTGAAACCTCAGAAGAGTACATCTTTAAGCCTTAGTATGTAGATCACAATTTGGACATTGAACCACTTAATTTGTTTTACTTGAAATGTTAAGTTGCATTAATGTTTATATACAGTACATGTTATAAATGCATATTTGTAAATATATTGTCATGAACAGCGAATAACTAGGTATTTGTTACATAAGTATATTTGACACAAAAAACAAACTAGCACTATTCCATCCGTTTAAAACATTGCACGTAATTTAACCAGTACATATTTGACATCTTATAGTCACGAATGACACATTTTAGATGAAACTAAATACACTTCTGATATCTGAGTTAAATCAGTTGACCAATGATGGGTTCCCAAACATCAAATTTCCGTAGTTAGGTCGCTGTCTATCCGTCCTTAATGAGTGACGTGTTGATATAGATTTGCTTTGAGCTTGAACCTAAATATAAAGCAAAAGAAAAGCATTATTTTTTAACCAAAACAAAAAGTGTCTAAAATAAAATGATCAAGCATCGCTGCAGTTTCATTTGTTGGTGTTTGCAACTACTATTAAAATTATTGATTAAATGTATCTAAACAGTTTGTATTTAGGTCATAAGCATGTTTATGAAAATTTAAATGAATCTGTATTGTAGTAATAGAGCAAAGGAATGTATGATAGAAATTACAAGCGAATAATATTTAGACATAATATTTAAGGGAACAGTGCATTTCATGTATTGATCGTTTCATAAAATCAACACGAACCGTTTTCCAAAATAAGTAGCCATGTCGTTTTTAACCAAAAAAAGATGTTTTGTTATGTTCTGAAAATATTGCAACATATAGGTACAATATCATTTGTATATAAGAAGTAGATGTAGGTAAGTTATAAAAGAAATACCCGCATATCAACGTATTTCTTAATGTAGCTCGTTTATTACGTAAACAGACAAACCTACTCGTGCGCTTAAGATATATATTCGTCATCACAAAGATGGAAATATGTGCGCCAGGTATTGTGTATGCATATAAGTGTTTTGCCGTGCATGAAGAGTGTCATCCTCCCCTCTCCTTTCTTTGAGTTCCTCGTATACATTTGGGCCCGATACTCCTCCAAGTGTTTCATAATTGCTAAAAACAGAATCATTAGCTAAGTAAGTTAATTGAATACGTAGTCAATTTAATGTTTAATATTCATGTTACCGATTTATTTGCGTTTTGTTTAAATAAGTTTTACCACAAAACCGTTCTATTTGTTTCAAATGTGTATTTCCCTTTTTCTTACTTCTGCATAGTTGCAGTCTATTGCAAGTGCTTCTATTTCTGTTCAATTAAAAAGTTTTAAAAGGTGTCGTGCAGTTAACAAGTAAAGAATACCTTCTTTCTGCTCTTTCATCCAAGACAATATCTACATCAACAAAAACGAATGTTAATGAATGTTGATTTGAGATAGAAAATCATGGGTTAAACGTTCCTTAATCTTTAGCAATAACACAACATCTGTAATGGTGCGATACTTTTGTTTAATAATTACGTATTATTGGACGATAAACCAAGCGCGTGCTTGTATTATTTTGTCAACAGAATATGCAAGAGGAACGCTTCTCAAAAACTTTCCGGGTATTGCAAATCCAAATAAGTGAACATTGGGACTGGTTTTCGTTGTCCAATTGGGGTACAATGTTATACCTTGGGAGATTTGTTAACAAACAAAAACAAACAACAGTTTCTATCTAACCTTTAGATCCACTAATCCTATGTTGAGCTCATGACTAGAATGTTCCACCTAGCTAACCAATGAGGTGACTTGAAGAGGTGTTATATATCTGTCAATGTCGGTTGCAAATGAAAGCAAACAATATCGACAGATTTATGTCTTTATCGATTTATTATTTATCTATTTTACAGCAGGACTATACTTTTTAGTGTTTGTTGTATGTCAATATAAAAAAGCATTGGCATTTCGGACCCCATACAATGGAGATCAGGTCATCAATGATACATGTTCCAAGTGCTTCACTTCCATCAGCCATACACAAATTGTCTCAGCATTCGCGGGGTAACGCTAATGCAGCGGGCACGATTACTCTCTGCTAGTTTTGTCGTTTTTCGTATATTTCTAATACATCCGCAAACTATTAGGCATATATCGCATTATCAAATGTGTCCAGGTAAACCAGGCAGAACAGGACAACTACTTCTTGTGTTATAGATGATACAATTGCGCAGCTTGTTTTGAAATGAAATAAGCACCAGGTGACAAATGTTTGCAAACGCACAAGAACAGTCTAATTGACATAATATAATGTCCTGGGCTATGTACACTGGGGTTACCACAAACACACTTGCATTACATTTTACTTTGTCAAATAGATATGATTACAATATGTGTGTATTATGGTGATATATGTAGCTTGAGATTCGACAACAGCGATAAACTAATTTAATGAGGCTTAGCGGACTTCCTGAATCAATCTTCCAAAGTTTTGTTATCTTTGTTATATGTTTAACCATAACAAACGAACATAGGTTGATATTTCTTAATTGTATCATCCTGATCAATTCACAATACAAACTCATTTCTGATTGAGTTGCTAGAGTTTTTCTAAGCTTCCTTTGCTTTGTTTTCAGGATAATGTTTCTGTAACTTGAATAACTGAATCCCCCAAACTATGATGCAAAGTTTTAGATGGACAAATTTGAAACTTGTCTCGGGTCATGTCAAAATGAGAGCAAATAACTTATTTTAATTGGTGATTAAAAAATAAATGTATTATAAGACAACACTTGTGATCTCAGTGACCTAATGGAAAACCTACAAATGCATCAAATGGTAAATGAACCAACCCGTCGTACTGCTGATACAGAGACACTGATTGATAATGTATACGTGTCGGCACCGGAATTTATTATGGTGGTAAAGGTAGTGAAAAATGTTCTTAGTGACAACTACCCTGTGGGCATTGTACGTTCAAATTTTGCACATACTAATATGTTATATAGATCATTCAAAAACTTTGACGAAACAAAGTATTGAGGTGATATAGCCAGTGCTACTTGGTTGAAATTGAAATTTAGAATAGTATGTATGTTTTTTAAATGTCTAAATGGATTAGTACCAAATTACTTAGCAGACAGTTTTTGTCTAGCTAGGATTGTCCAAACAGGAAGTTGTAGGTTTTTGGATGCAAATAATATTTGTTTTCCAAACATGGAACAACGTTTTATCCCAAACACTTTTTTTTGGATTGCTAGTATTCAACTTTGGACTGTACTTCCAAAAGAATTAAAGAATGTCAATACATTTAACAATTTAAAACAGAAAGTTGTCAAACATATTCATACATTATAAAAGTAGCTTTTTTAATGAAGTGAACCATTTTTGTTTTAAAGTATGCAACATTAGCGTATAACTAGGTCATTTTTTTTAAGTTTTTGCTATGTTAACATATATGTAAATTAGGCATGTGACATTTAATTGATGAAACGACTTTGCATAATTGTGCATTCTGTGATATTCTTAATATAAGACAGCTGTGATAATAGTTTTAAGGTGATCGTGTCTTAGAAAATTATGATACAATATATGTTATGCTATTTTTTCATTAAGATATATTTATCTATAATGTAATAACTAATTAACACATGCATTTTACTAACAGGGGGATCATGTGGAAGATTAGCCCAGGGCTAAACATGTATATATCCTAAATAAAGAATGTCTATTATTAGTATTATTATAATTAGGAATACAAAGCATACCGTGTGCAGGTCTCGCTGAGTCGTACACGTTTTGTGCTGCAAAGTCTGTTGCATCCAATTCAGTATACAGACCTCTGCAATAGACAATCCCCATATAATTGATTGCATTGTCGTAATCAATTTAGTTTCCTAGTTATATTTATACGTACATGATCTCATTTTAGCAAATTATACAGAAATACATTTAAAGTATATGTCAAGTGAAAAATGCTAGTTAAGCCATATCCCTCCGTTCTGATTGAATGTTTACAGGTCACATTGATACATCTTACTACTGTGTATAAATGCGGTAGTTATTTCCATTTTTTTTTTTTTTTTTACAATAATTTGTGAAAATTTATGTTTCAGATTCGGAATATCACTTTTTAATTGAATTTATTTAAAAGTTTGACTACCGAATTGTATGTTTCGATTAGTTATGTATACATATAACACTGAGTTTGGACAAAAGCAATCCGATACAATCAATATCAACACAATTATGTTTAGAAACAAGTTGAAAAATAACAAAACCGAATAAATTCAATTTTCTGTTATAGGCAAACGTCATTTATAATGAATTCATCAGTGCATTAATGAGTTATCCGCATTTACGAGGTATGACTTTAAATGTTATTTTTAGAAAATAGATAATTACCGTTCCTGATCAGATGTTATTCCTGCCATTGCTGTAAAATATCAATTGAAACAAAGTTAACAGTACCATTATTATGATGAACACTGTTATACGAATATTTTTTCCCTGTTATAATAATACTCTTATATACATTCCAATTAAGAACTAAACGTTACCATTGAGAGTCATGTATAATTAATCGCTTAAAGATTCAAGCTACAGTTACTGATATTATTGTAACACATACCGTGTTCGGAATCCTCGATGCTGGCGAACGGTTTGGGGGACGTATTGGTGCTGTTCATCCGTCGTTTCCTTGATAACAGATAAGTTTTAACATCACCTATGAAACATTACATAAATATAGCACTATTATAAAATGTTTATAAATCTATGTTACGGTGATAGCATACCTACTTTATATTATGATTATAAAATAACTACCGTATATTCGTCATATGAAAAAGTAGGCAGTTATGATGAAAAGGACAAAACAGGTAACAACAAATGCTGCGCTATTTTACGCAATAGTATTATCAATTACGTATAAATTGAATGAATCAAATGTACCCCTTTTACTTACATAAATGGAAGATGTCCAAATCCTGCCAAAACAAATATCATGAAAGGGAACATTAAAGGTCAACACAGTGTGATACTATCATAACAATATCAGATTATCAGAATGATCATCACAACAGACATATATCTTGTTTCAGAAAACAAATAAACTTAATTGAAAATAAATAGTTAATGGCGGCGTTGGTGTATACGTACTTGTCATAAACACACCAATCCCTAGGTTGATGAGCAGTATGATAACGGAGACACAGGTAAGAACAATGGAGGTAACGTACATTGGACAGGTGTCATCACAAACTGAAATAACACCATACAAAATGCAATTCAAAGATCGTACAAAATACATAAATTGGTCTGTCTGTTAACCGGATTATTATATATACATAGTGCATACATCAATCATAAATGTTCTACTTAAAATCTTAGAATATTGACAATATATATATATACAAGTTCTGTGTATATTTAGCGTGCTATGGATAACTTCGTACAGGTGATATTACAGTTGTTGTCATGCAGTGCAATATGCTGAGTCGTTCAGGTATATGTACCCTGATACAATCATCAGGTACCAATGAAGGACTGTAAAATAGTAATGTAGGGTGCTTCAAACTACTAAAACTGTACCACTAAGAGTCTTGCTTGCTGGGAAGACATTTGAGCGCTTATGCGTGTAACTAATATCTAAGAGCTTTAGTTAAACTTATACTTTAATATGTATGCTTACATGTAATGAGTGTGTAGTAAATAGGCAATATCATTATCCATATACCAGTATGTACATGTATCTGATGACTCAGATCTCACGAGGAAATAGCGCCGTTGTAGATATTTCTGGGGTGTTGCTTTTATTATATACTGATACTATGTGCTGCAAACCTTACTCATCGTTACTGTTTTAATGGATGATTTCCTAATTCCTATAGTGTGAAATAGAACTAAAATGTTCGAAACCCTGTTTTGTTTCGATTCGTCTATTTGATCAGTTGAAGCAACCAGCCAATTTAATTCAGTAGGAATTTGGCCACTAGAGTAGTAAAGCGAAAATACTGTCCGAATTACTTACGTCAGAATCATCAAAATAATAATTAGCTTTTGGACGGATTTTCTGTTTAAAAAGAGCTTTGGCAACTGTTTCAGTACCTACTGGGTGGACAACAAGATAAGATAAGTATGTATTGCTGAACTATTAAAACTAAGTATTAATCAAGTACAAACCCAGGTGGACGCTAGATGCTTATTCAGTATTTTTATGTTTTTTATCAAAAACCCTAGAGGACGCGATGTCTCTACCGGTCCTTCGGAGAAACAACGAAATAAACTGTTTCGAAATTTTGAAAACTATTTTACAAGAATTTTAAAGGTAATTTATTTTTTTGGTAATAATATAGTTTGCTCGCATTGCGATTACCTTCATATATATGATAATTCTTGATATATTTGTATACATATGCGTTATAATCGGAGGGAAATATCTCTGATTAACAACCCTTCGGAAATCGCCATAATTCCTTACAAGGGAGTTAATTGAGTATGGAATTATGTGATATGCAAGTAAGTTAAGTATTGATGTCGATTGAAGTCTTGTATTTGAGTAGTAAGTGATCGTGCAATATATGACGCAGGGGTCAAAATAATATGTGAGTGAGCTAAACACAATTTATTTTTTCCGTTTTTGAATTCAAACAAGATTTTTGGTTTATTATGTTTATAACACACATTTGCTAAATAAGTGTTAAATTCACCTCGTTGATAAGTGGTGAATCGCATTGTTGAATTTTTACTACTGCCCTTTTCATTTGTTGCGAATAGTATAACTGTGTAAGTCGTAGAAGGAATCAAGTTTGTGAGTTGTACGCTTGGAGTTTCTTCAGTGACATCTATAATGGCCCACGTGGTTGACGACTGCTGTAGTAACCAAACATGGATCTGCTGGTCCTCTCGGCCTCGATTATTACCCGGTTTCCATGACACTACGGCAGAACTCGCTGTTATCTGGTCAACGACCAGGTCAGTCGGTGTGTCTGGGACATCTAACGTAATAACAACAAAGTGTAAAAACAATTAGGAAAAGGAAATGCATACGTCATTATCAGGTTTAAGCAAGTTGAGAAGGCTTATATTGAAATAGATAGTAAACACATTGAATTAAGGAGATTTCTATTTTAAGTTGAAAACGCACACGAAACATGGTGTATTTAAGTATTTCCGCATCGGATATCACCAATACGCTAATGGCTATAGGACGAAGGTAAGACAATCGATAAAAATAGCTATATTTTTCTATCATTGGATTTTCACGGGAAAATATAAATAACTACACTTCCTGTAGTTTTGACAGGTCCATAGTCATTTGAATTTAACGAAAATGAAACTTCATTAACCATTTTATCAATTTGAAAAATCGTTAAAGAGAGTGATAACTACTTACCTATAATTAAGATAGTAAAGTGAAATACAAAATGTGGGTATATCGGGTTGATGACAGTTAGACTATAGTTTCCCATCTGATGGATTTGGAATGTCGGGAAATACAAATTTACTTTGTATCCGGGACGTGTTAGAATCTTGCCGTAGAAAATGTCGGACACGCTCTCTGTTGTAAATGTGATCGTAAGATTCTGTGTGGATGAGAGACGCTCTTCCCTACTGATGTACATGTCTGTTGGAGGAGGGTTGCTGATGAATACCAGTGACTTACGAAAAGGTTGGCCCTTGTTCGCAATATCAATCGATCCACCCTCAAGTAGTTTTGGGCTTCCTAAACATAGAGACATTTTTTTTTATTTTTTTTTTCCACATATTTTTAGTTTTTGAGTACAATTGCATTATTGAATGTATCATACTGTGTTATGATAATGTCCTATGTGAGTTTTACCTTTGACATCAAAGACAGCCGTTTCTGTCTGTATCAGCTGGCCGTCCCTCCCCCTGATAGAGTTCTGTACTTGACAGGCGTAAGTTCCACTGTCCTGATATGAAACGCTGGCCAGTGTGAGGGTCCTGCCGTCAGTCGTGACGTCACCAGTGAGGGTCCTGACGAGAATTATGCCGTACATATGTGTCCAAGCACCGTAAGTGTAAATGTTTGGAACACCTGCCGCATTACATGTCATCACTAAATGTGTATCGTGTTCCGTGGCGTTTTGCACTAACAACTCTACATCCGGGGCATCTGCAAACAAGTCTACATGTTTATGATCAGGATCCTATATTGCAGAGAGGGTGTTTATCTCATTTGTTTGGACATGTGAATTTGCTAAGCATTTTCATGTGCATATTTAAGCATTGAACTGTTTTTGTATGGTATGTATGATCTATTTGAATGACACAGCTTTGCAAGCAAACAACATAATGCGCGCAACATAAATACCATACAAAACAGTTCAATACTTATATTTACGTTTTCTCTGCCTCTTATGCTCTTTTTTAACCTATAATTCATATTCAAATTTAAAATTCCCGCCTTATCAACAGTTCACACAATTTCGTTCAATAGTTTGAACAGCGTATTGTCGCGTGCTGATTGGCAAACAAAGTAGTACTTCGAAATATTAACAAACACTTCAATTTTATTCCACAATTCAGTATCAATACAATTGCGTATGATATGTCTATAGGGTAAATTAAGTTTATCAATAGAACTCTGAGCTGAAAGTTAGATTTGAAATTGTTTCGATTTTCCCCCGGAACAAATTTCGCGCATGGACAAATACAGTGAAATCCGACCTTTTCCTCCACGAGGGAGTTATTTTTGGAAGTTAATTCGAACTTTTCTCTTTGCTCATTTTGTGAAGAATCCAGGCGTGAATGTATTTGTTGATTGTATGGGAACCTGACAACAGTCGGTAGATTCTATAACATCCTCGTTATTTGACATGTCGTCAGAAACTGAGGAATGGTGGATGCGAGACGCGTGAAACTAATAGCGTATGAAGTGAGTGATCTTGCGACGGAGCACAGGTTCGTTACAAATGTCTGAAATGTTTATGTGTGCTGTGACTCATATCAGTAGGTCTGTAACATATGTATCAGTAGGTCTATAGAATATGTGTTTTTAAGACATTTGTAACGAACCCCTGTTGATCAGCGCAGTGTAACAGACGATATTCCTGATAAATTGCATGAGCGTTAAAATTGTTTCCATTGCCGGCATTGGTGATTTCAACCGATGTGCATTTTGTACGATATTGCAGACCTTGGTCTTGCTTTCGTTGTAATAAAAGTGTTTTTTATTTTACTTTTTATTTTGCATATCAATTTACAATGACATTGTCAAATCTCACAATGCCCAGCGATATTTCAGCAGCCGTCATGTGTATTTATATTGGATATTGTAGTTCCGGTCAGTGTTGTATTAATACGCTAAGAATTGTGTCTCGTGATGCATGGTAATTAAAGTCCAATCAACGACACAGCTTTTAAAGAGGCTATATAGTGACAATGCCATGCAAATGTGAATATGTTGTTGTAAACGAAGATATATTGGTTTCCGTAAGCCTTTTGACGTTACATACAGTATGCTTTTATTGACAAGTGTCGTAATCAATGTGGACCTGAAATTACCAATCGGTCGTAGGTGAATCATTATATTTAGTTTGGGTACAAAAATATCATTGTGTAAACAATAGTTAAAGGCACTTAGTCAAGTCTGTAACAGTTACATGTAATTATTCGTAACGACTAAATTGATACCAGGGAAACTTATGGGATCATGGTATATTAGTTGGGATCAAAACAATATTTCATTTTAATTTTAATTGTAGAAATGATTTCCCTGATATATTTCGCCGTTTGATTAGCAATCTTACAACACAGGTTTCGAAATAATCTACTCGATTAGGCCTTTGGTCGCTATCCGACAGTCCATCTGATGATTATATATACTCATTTAGCAATGAAACGACAAGTTATGCATGTATTATACCTGTTAACTTATCCTAGTATGAACATGTAATAGCACCAGGACAATACTCACACTGTACCACAAGGTTGAGGTCGGACTGGGTATATAGCGACCCAAACTTCTGAGATGATGACGTGGCATTACATGTGTACCGCCCGGCCTTGTTCCTGTTGATAGATGGTAAGTCCAGAATGTTGTTGGTCGACGAATCCCGAGGATACCAGGTAACAGTAGGGTTGGGGTTACCTACAGCTGTACAGGTACACCGGTAGTTGTCTGTCTCGTTAACTGTTTCTGGACACGCCGAGAGTGTTATAACTGGAGCATCTGTAAATAAAAATATATATCTAACGAGGCAAAATTATTGCAAGGTATTGCATAGTCTTCCATCGATAATGATATCTTTATTAACCCTTTCTCAAGATATATCAGAATATGATTTACAGTGCCATACTTCCTGCTCTCTGTACTTCACTACCCAAGACATAATTGCATACCAAATCCAGATTAAATGGTGTAGACTTGACAGATAAACGGTCAACTTGCATACCAAATCTGCTTACTCGAGGTGAAATATCATAGAAAACATGTCACAGACAAACCTTTTTCAAAAGTTGATGTCAAATCATAGGTGACCTACTGTTTGTGCATGATACTCCTCTATCCAAATACTCCAGGTGAGATAGTATAGAAGAAATATTCGGACAAACTTGTGTAACGGATGGATCTCAAACGGACGCAAATCTTAACACCCTCCCCTTTCCGGAAAACCTGTTTGGGACTAACGAGCAAAGTTGTCCGCTAACATATGTTAAAGCTGTTGTTGAGGTTTGGTGTAAAACATACTTAGCCTACAACTTGTCTGTATGTATTTGATGCAATTTTCGATGGATGCAATTTGTATCTCTGAAATCGATGTGATGCAATTAAAGTTTGTCTGTCACCACTGCCATTATTCACAGAAATCTATATATAAGGAGCAAATATAATCGATGCAGTTTGATAAGTAAACCTACATGTGTAAGACCTTAAAACCCCGCTTGTATTTTTTTTTTATTAAAATATATATACATAAAATAAGGGATACAATAAATAAATATCGGATATGGCAAATAAATCAATTATATGATGATGTCTATTTTATATAGTTATGCGTGCTTACTATAAAATAAAATAAAGTATAATAACAAAACTGCAATATTGACTAACACAAAATCTGTTTTGATCATTGAACATTTAAAGTTTATCCAAGTGATAAGTCACGTCCGATGACGTTAGAACGAAAAAAAAAGGTGAGAATGAATAAAGAAGTTTTAATTGTAACAGTGGCACTTGCGAAAGTCTGCAAAACGATACACAGTGACAAAAGCGTAGTAGGTTTGCAAATTTCGCGCGTGTTCCAACACTCGTCAAAGGTTTCATCGGAATCCATTACGTAGTTTCAGAGAAAACGTAAGGGGAAACTAACGAAGGAAGAACAAGAAAAAAAAGAGGTAAAAGCAATCAGTCAGCAAATTTCGTTTTGGGGACTTCATACAATAGAAAAACTACCTAACAATTCTGATTACAGAACACATTTTGTAGTGATTAGGAAAATATTAATAAAACTAGGTTCAATTCCAAAATTTCAGCGCATCCTAGCGCCGGCGGATAACTTTCAACAGTTAAGATATTGTATATGGTAAAATACATTGGCAGGACACACGCCTAGGGAAATACGTTGAATCGGTAAGTATTGTTGTGCTGATTGCTGTACGGCATTATACAATACCCAACAGTACCTGCGGTCGCACGTGTACCGTGACCTGCATACGTAATCGATATTGGGCCTGCAATGCAATTTCGAAGTTATTTTAAATTGTTTCAGTTGTAAAGTCATAAAGCGTTGATGTTGTTCTCTGTTTGTATGCATCTAGCGTTTTTAATGAAATTGAAAATAATATTCAAGGAAAAGACAGGATCTGATCTGAAAATGTATCAACCAATGATTTCATTCATACACAGTTCCCTTGTGAACCTCGATGTGTACTTAAAATGGTGTTACAGTGATTCTTCGTGTAACTATCATACAAAATGCAAGATTAACTTGTGTTCATTGTGGATATTTAAATTCGACCGAGTGAGAAGTAGACAAAACTATGGACACGATCCCTGATTTTCTGAGAAATAGCGGTAACAAACGTCATTTGCAAAATCCAAGATGACAATCTGAGAGACAATTAACATTCTGTATCCATATCGAATTGCAGTATGTATATAATCATAACGAGAGGACCATGCGTAACCTGTAACAAATATTTCATGAAAAAAACAATGTCTGCCTTGCGGAAATTTTGTGTAATTTCCGATCAACCTCAAGGTGAGACATGCTATGTAGCGTAAAAACTCTATCCGAAATAGCTATAATTTAGTATTTTTTATTATTCATCAAAATTCCGAACTAGCAGAATAATGGACTGGGACATCACGCAGTTTCTTAATGATCCTTTTATACGAGTAAGAAGAAGAATGATACGTAACTTCAGATGCAAAATCTAAGATGCCTACCTAATAGCAATTTTGTTTTTCGGATCCATCCTGAATGGCGCAGCGTACATATTCCTTTGTAATCCCTTCTTTTCTAAGAAAAAACCTGTATATTACATTGGTACCGGTGAAATATTGAAAATGATTCATTCTAAAAAAGCGATTTTGTTTACTAGTGAACAATGTCACTTTTGTTAATTTGACCAATTTAACACTGATAACAAACTACCATGAGAAAAAAGTACAGGTGGGCCATATGTTCAAAGTGAGATTAGCGTAACGATATGCAGGCCTCGAGATCCATCTGAGACATGTGCCGATTGTACTGTCCAACATAACCAGGTATGTTACCTATTAGGTAAAAAAATCTTGGAAAAATACAACGTTTAATTCCACAGTTAGCTTTCATGTTAAGGAAGTCAGCAGACTATGAAGGTTAGCAATTTTAACTGTTTGTTCGAAGGAAGCTCATGTGAAATACAAACAGCGTCTCCAAGTACAAAGTTAGGCTAGGCGATGGGCAGAAATTATGATAGAACTAAGGTCTTCTCTGACAGTGATAGTGATTACGTATAACTTGCATAGGTGATCATCAGGATAAGTGGTGACGCAACAACATTTCCCCCACTCCCCACCATTTACAGTCGAAGCTTATCAACAACGCGTAACTATCTGAGTTAATATGAAGGCGGTTATTAAATAATTAAATAATGAAAATAATTTCGCATACTTTGTTAAAATATTCACCAAAGAACCTACTTTATCAAAATAAGTAATTAAAGGAATGTAATAATAAGGTTTTACATTCTTTTCAAATATTTGCAGATAGGACTTTATTTTGTCGCGTAAGGTTGTCTAGACAGCATGTCAGTCGTACAAGGAAATAAAATGATGGTAGCAAACACATCAGCATTATGTCATAATTCAAGTTAACCTACATTGTACATCTAATGTTATGTCCAACTCCGGAGCCGATCCTTTGGCGTCGGTGAAGTCGTTTTCAGCCCTACACCTGTACAACCGTCCGCCATCACTGCTGGTAGGTGGGTCAAAGGGGAGCGTCTGTGATGTCTGGGAACTGACCGGTGTACCGTCCCTGTACCACGTGTACCGTGTGGTAGGCGGGTTACCGGCTGTAGTGTCACAGCTCAGACGGCCTACATAAGTATCTCTGGCCAGCCAGGGGAACGTGTCAGTCACCGTCAGGGCATGGATACGAGGGGCATCTGTTCAGGCAGGTAATACAGGTATTTATTTACGCACAAACAAGGAAAAAAATACGGTTTATATTTATTATGTGAGCCTCCAAAACACAGTCCTGAAGGTTTTATTATTCCAATAATAGAATTCGTTTGATAATTAGCTGCTCTGACATAATGCAGAACTCAATTGTACAAAACTTAAAATTGAATGCGTATGGTCAGTTATGAATCAAACATGAAATCTCAAAACAATTTCAGGAGAAAAACGAAGTAATTATTTAATGTTATTAACAACTTTGTTATGCATATACACTGCAAAATGGTTGTATATTGTCATATCGAACAACTTTTTAAACCGCGTTACATAAAATAGTCATAGTTTGTCACTATTTGATCAGGTCGCTTCTAATTCAACGAACTAATACATAAATGAGATAGAAAAGAGGGGGATTCCAGGTTATATTACGTTGAAGTGTTTGACATTTTAAAAAAGGGAAACAGATGACCCAAATTCACATTTTTTGTTAAATTTTAAAACGACATTCCTGTTTCTTAATCAAAACAAAGATGTACCAGACACTTTCACCAATTACTCCTTTAACCTCGAACCATACTTTGTCGGTATATAGCCCCGGTGAGCTACGGTGGTGCAAACTTGGGACAACTCTGGGTATCCGTAGCGAGTCAGTATAGAAGCCAGGGTAATCCGTGTTGATCCTGGGTGTTACACCGTGACAGTTTGACTGGAACTTTAGAATTATTTGTAGCCTGTGTCTCAAAAGAAGCGATTGGTTTAAGAATTAACCAAATGTCGAATTATCAATTATACTAACACTTGGCCTTTTTATAAAAAATCGTAATATATTAAAAAATAAATGAAAAGGGAAAAAAATTTATTCAAAAATATATTAAAATTTCTCTAGATAAGAATATCAAGTAAACTCTGGGAAGGACATTGTGCTTTGTGAACCCTGGTGTAATAATAACCCGTCACACCTTAAAAGCACTTCACACAAAAGGACAATGACTACCACAGTATACTTATATTTGACATTTGGGCCATCGGTATGAGACCTGATGATCAATAGTTATATTAACACAATAACTACTACACTAGACTTACAGTAGACGTTGAAGACCTCGGTGCGAGACAAGATGATCAATAGTTATATAAACACAAAAACTACCACAGTAGACTTACAGTAGACATTGAAAACCTCGGTATGAGACCTGATGGCCAATAGTTATATAAACACAACAACTACCACAGTAGACTTACAGTAGACGTGGGAGACCTTGGTGTGAGACCTGATGATCAATAGTTATATAAACACAACAACGACCACAATAGACTTACAGTAGACGTGGAAGACCTTGGTGTGAGACCTGATGATCAATAGTTATATAAACACAACAACTACCACAGTAGACTTACAGTAGACGTGGGAGACTTTGGTGTGAGACCTGATGATCAATAGTTATATAAACACAACAACTACCACAGTAGACTTACAGTAGACGTTAATGACCTTAGTGTAAGACCTGATGATCAATAGTTATATAAACACAATAACTACCACAGTAAACTTACAGTAGACGTTGAAGACCTCGGTGTGGGATGTCATGAAGCCCTGTGCTGGATGAGTAGCTACACATGTACAATTGGCTCCGTTATATAAAGGTGTCAGACGTATCCTTAGTACAGAGACTGCCGTGTCTGCTGTGTTTGCTGTTGTAGAGGTAACGCTACGACCTGGACATGTCCATGTCAGACTGGCTAGTGGGTTACCTCCCCTTATACTACATCGGAGTTCAATGTCGTCACCATCATACACAGGATCACTATTACCGGTCACTATGGCTGGGTTAGTCGGTGGATCTAAAGACAAAATGTATATGTGTATTAACAAGTATTTAAAGGGCTACACGCTTTTTTCTTCATTGATGCAATTATCCGATGCTGATCAATTGAAATAGGTTTAAAGCAACTGGAAACGATTAGCTAAACTGAACACTTTTGATGTTATACTAGCTCCAGGTGTTCTTATGAAGAAACCTTTTATTTTGTATAAACGTCGTTAATCGGTTTCAATAATAACTACTTTTTTTTCGAGACTATATTTCTTTCGTGATCATCGGATCACAACATTACTCTTAAATTACATGTCGATTGTTTATGATATTTCTATAATTGTGAGACTCAATGCTTTAAATTGTTTATACAATGTCTCTACCGGTCTTTTTATTTTACTATATGACCATTGCAACCTTATTTTGTGAGAAAACATTCTACAGTTTGCCAACTATTAAATAGCACAACTCTGATAAAGATTCATTCTGGACGCAAAAGAACGTCTTACATCCCTGATCCTACGTTTACGTTTGATGTCGACAACTTTCATCTTTATTTATTCTATCTTAAGATTGATACACGCAGTGTAATTTGTGAAGACAACCATTTCAAATTGTATTGTGTGAGGTTGTTAACACATCTACAAATTATCACTTTGATGTGCCGCTAGTAAAACATAAGATATTGCCAAGTATACTAAAAAAAACAGAAAAAAAGAACGTAACACACACACAGAAATAATATGTCACAATAGAAAAGAATGAATCTCCTCTTGGATGACTAGTTCACCTAGAACTATCTTTGTAAATTTTTGGGATAGTTGCTTTATGTTTGAATGGGTTGATTTGTCAGTATCGACGAGTGTTTTTCTTTCCAATTTCGTTATCTGCGCTATACTTATTAAAACATTTGAAGATACATTTGTTTGTGTACGACTAATTTGAAATTGTTAATATAGTTAAATATGCGTACAAAAACTGAATGTACTGACGGTATGATTCAATGGTATATGGATACCTAAACAAAGGGGGTGTTACATGGCGGTGTACGACCGATTTTATAATATAATGGATTGGCATGACATTCATATTCAAACAATTATTTCTTTAAAAAAAACAAATTCGCAGCTTCATTGCTCTCTACACCGATTGTTAGGATGTTCATGACAAACGTGCATTTAATGCATCATATGTCTAAATGAACACTTCTACTTCCTCTGTTAAATGACATTTCTAACAACCTTTCTGATGGTATATAGCAACTGACCATATGTGACCACATTACAAATTACATCTTTACACATTATTGGTAATAATATAAGTACGTTTTGATTTTTGCATTCTTTAAGTGACATGATAAATATGATTAAAGTTCCGTTTCACTACCTTTTTACATTGAAAACTATCTAAAGGTATTTGTTTTTCTTGCGTATAAATTATGTACAGATGATTTACTGGATAGGCCAATTTTTGGGGATTTTTTCCCCTTTATTCTCCTTAAGACGACCACTGATACACGAATATACATTGGGTATTGCACAATAGTTTTTAGAACAACTTTGACTAAACTTTGGTATGGAACATAATTCCGAAAGAAAAGTAAGAGTTTTAATATATCAAAACGTTGGCCCATGTCGGGGCAAGTAAGCGGACTAAATAAGCAAATTAAAGAGGACTGTTGCAGTGCTTCATTAAAAAAGTGCATCCTTTAGTTTCAAAAGAGTTTAGTACCGTGTGTTATGTGCTCTATCAGCCTCATCAGTGAAATGACCAGTGAGGCGTATTCACATAGAGGTATATACTTACAAGATGGTAATATCAATTCGACTTTGATCCGGCTATGCTATAAGCGTATGTACACTTAAGTGTTATATATGCATGAGTGACGAATCAAATAGATACATCGACCTTGACATACTTTGTTGAATACCTAGTCATACATGTACGAGCCTCTTTGGCCCCCTAACCTCGATTCAGGACTGGACCGGTGGAATGCACAAAACATATTGTGACATTAAAGCCAACCGAATGTGGGGAAGATAACAGTGGTCATCCCGAGGAGAAAAGAAATTCGGAAAATGGGCATATCCAGTGGATCATTTGTGCACAATTTTCGATTTATCGATGTGAGAACGTGACATTGCATGGATTCGACATATATTTGCATGGCGGGTGTCATCAATGCAGCAAAAGACTCTTACCTTCTGGTCATTGTCTGTTAGCCTCCATGTAAATCTCCCGTTTGTTCATATTTTGCTCTAGCGATATGTATTTTAAGTTCGGATTTTGTTGACACTTCGATATTCTTTTGTTTCTTTCATTCTTTTCACATGGATGTTAAACAATTGAACCTTTCCGATTTCTTAAAATTAATTGAACCGATCGAAAACAAACTGATGTTTCAAAATGTTTGCTGCCACTCCAGCCTCTGAACAGCTGAAAACACTTTTTTTTTGTTTTCTCCAAAATGGTTGCATAGACGGTCATAAGAATAGCTTCACTGACATAATATGTAACAAATTGAAATTAATATATTTCACATTACCGATTTGTATTATCCGGTGAAAGTTGTTTGCCTTCTGTGATGCAAGTATAATTATATGTTATAGCCTGTAGTTTTAGAACTTTGTTTTGCTTGTCTGTTTTGTTTTTTAATTTTATGTCCG